TGGGCCACCCCCCCGCCAGGGGCGCTGCCGAGGGACGAGGCGGCTGGGCTGCCTGTGCGCCCTCCACCCCCTGAGCCGCACATGGGGCCCAGCTGCCGGCTGAGAAGGATTAAAGTGCTTTTTTCTTTTTGTTTTTTGCGTTGGGTGCTAAGGCCAAACCGCACCCTGCCAGAGAACATTTCCCCTTTATCCCCAGGGCCAGAGGGTCAGAAACCCCCAGGCGGGTCTCCGAGGCCCCTGCCCCAGGTCCCCGCAGGCAGCAGCAGGGCTGCGGCGCCCCGTTCAAACCTCAGCACAGCAACATTCAGCAAGTCCCGTGCAAGGAAAGGGACCCGCTCTGCTGGCTCCCGCAGCGCCCGACACCTCCCGCAGAGCCCGCGCTGCTCCGGAGGGGACCGTCCTGAGGGGAGCGTGGAGGAACCAGCTCTGCTGCTGCGCGGTCGGGAAGTGCCTGCCTGGGTGCAGGGTGGCCCAGGCCCGTCTCCCGCTCTGGGTGCAGCCCCAGCCGCTCAGCGGGAGTCCCCCCCGCGGCCCCAAAGCTGCCCGGCAGAAGCATCCGCGCACCAGCCCCGGAAGGGCCAGGCAGCAGAGCAGCCGGGGACGAGCACAAGCCAGCCACCCACCCCGCAGCCAGAGAAAACGCAGGCTGGAAGGGCTTCCTCGGGCTGACGGGTTCCTGCTGCCTCTGGACTCCTCCTGTGCTTGCAGCAGCAACCCCGTAACATCGTCTCTAAGCAGCTCACTGGCGTCCCTACCCAAAGTGACTTTTTGCATAGTGCTGCTCTCCCCATCCCCAAGCATCGCGCCACGCCAGCCACGGCCAGGCGGTCTCTGTTCCCCAGCCAGCTGGGGCAGAGGGGAAACAAGAGCCTGGGGACCGCTGCAGCCACGTCTCTATGGCTTCCAACCCTGTCGTTGTCCTTGTCAACAGGACAAAACAGGCGGCAAAAGGTGGCACCCGAGACCAGAACTTATCCCAGGGGACAGGCTGGAGGGCAGCACCAGCCCCTCCGCGCCCCAGCAGTGCCCCGGGTCTCGGTGCAGGTGGCACCTTACTCGCTCCTGTTCTTCCATCCGTCAGCACAAAGTGGGAAGAGACTGAGAATGCGCGGCTGTCCCTCCTCCTGCACCACAGCTTTTCTTCAAGCCCCAGCTGCTTTGGTCCATGGGCTCCCTCCAGCCCCGGAGACCGCCCGCAGAGCAAGGCTGCAGAGCCTGCCCCCGCCCAGGGCTGGCAAAGCTGCCACCCCGGCAGCAGCCGCTCACGCTCCTGCCCCGAGTCTCTCTCTGGGCATCTGGATGGAAAGTAGCACTTGTGACACACACAGCAACGGGAACAGCAGCAGTCATGTCAGCGTGAAGCAAACATGGCATTGCTTACAAGGTGCAGCAGCAGGGTGTGCCGGGGACTGCCCCGCACAGAGCCTAGATGATATCCGTCTCCCTCTCTATGCCAACATACTTCAGGGCGTCTGCCTGGCTGTACCTACAAGATAGGAAAGTCACAGCTGCTGTAATGACCTCCCGCGCTCCCCACGAACGTGCACGCAGAAAGCGGGGTCAACCCTGCACCCCAGTCCCAGCCGGCCGCTCCCCACGGTACCTGTAATCAAAGAAGAGCTCCTCTCCCGCCTGGATGGCCCTCTTGGCAAAGATCCCTATCCGGTGGTCTCCATTCACCATCACAACTGCAACCAGAGAGACGACATCAGAGACGTGCAGCTCCAGCTCGGGCCAGGAGCTCTCACAGCGCTTTTGCCCTGCCAGGCCAGCTGCCACCCCCACGGCCACGGTACCCGAGCTGCTGCCTAGCAGGAACGGGGCGCTCCCCGCCGCTATCTAGCGGCGATCGCTCCTCGCGAGGCCAGGGCCGCCGCAGAGCTAAGCGGGGCCCTCACCAGCAGGAACGTGATTTGTTGCAGCGGGGAGGAGACTTTGTCTGGGTCTTTGAGGTTCTGGGGCTCCCACGGGCTCAGGGTAACTCGGGACCCCAGAGAATCCGCTGCAATCCCAGAGCTGAGCAGGACCCCAGAGAACGTTCCCCACCGAGATCTGACTGGGCGGGGATATCTCACCTTTGGCATAGCAGTTGGGGTTCACCGAGTGATTGGCAAAGCGGATTTTATTTCCTTTGCGGGTGGCGTCGACAACAAAATCTATTAAAAAAAAAAAAAAAGAAAATAGTGTAAAGACAGGGCTGCTGCTCAGGCGACAGACGGGCTGAGACTGCCCGCCCGGCCAGCAGCCCCGTGGCCAGGAAGCCCAAGTCTCCTCCACCCCTCGAAGCCCCAGGCGGGTTACCGTTGTTGAGGTTGAAGAGGAAGCTGGACATGTACTTGTCATAGACCTTCCCTCGCCGGTCAGCCTCATCCTGGGAAATAAGCTGGAGGAGGAGAACACCTTGAGACTCGGCGCCCGAGGGCGCAGCGAGGATCACTGCCCGGAGCAGCGCTCGCCCGCCTCCCGGGAACACCCTCCCGCCCTCCCACGGGCAGGAGCTCGCCAGGGCTCCCGGGGAGCGGCACATACACAACACGGTGGAGGGCCTAGCAGTACTGAGATGTCCCCAAATGCTGCAAGATTCAATCTCTAAACCTGGTCAGAGTGAGCCCGTGGCCACAGCCGAGCCAGGGAAGGCGTGCTGTCCCCGCCGGGCCAGTGGCCGAAGGAAGCGCTGCCACTGCACGCAGCCTCCCGAGCGCACACACAGCAGCCCCAGCATGGGCAGAAGCACTGACCTCACCACAGTACTCGGAGATGAACTCGTTCTTCTGCACAGATTCCTTGATGAAAGTCCCCCAGCCGGCGACATCCGACGGTGCCAGCAACAAATGCTGGAGCCAAGGTGAAAAGGAAACGGTTACAGTCGGCAGGCCCACCACCTCCCCGCAGAGAGATGACACCCCGCACATCAGGCAGCCCAGAAAGCAACAGCGAAGAGCTCTCCACCTCCCGGCGCAGTCGCACACGCCAGGGTTAGGGCAGTGCCCGGGAATAGGCGTGCTGTGCTGGCTGCCACGCTCAGAGACCCAACATCACGGGGTCCAGTAACTCCAAGAAGCAAAGGGGAGCCAGCGTCTACGCAGCATCACCTGGTTTAAGGAGACACACAGCTCCCCACAGACTTACAGGTTGTAGCACCATTAGGCTGGAGCTGCACAGTACTCGACACCCACTAATCTGCACCTTTCTCTGAATTTTGGTCTTTTTTACATGCAGTCCTTCGCCCTGACCAGCAGAATTCAAGACCTAACCTTTCTCTGGAGTCACTTTTTACACTCCCTTGCTCTCACCCTTCCTCCTGTAACTCCCGTCCGTCTCCTGACTTGCACACCCACAATCCATACTCCAGATTAAGTGCTACAGAAGCCTGGGGCAGAGCAGCTTCTCTTCCAGACCTCCTCACCCAGAGAGCTGCGGGGGGCTCGCATCCTCTCTGACGCAGCAGGAGCTCTGTTTTATCAGCTCTACCCCGCGGCAGCCCTCTGCCAGCAGTCCACAGCCACACTGCTGTCCATACCTTTTTGAGACCTCGCTGGATGCTGCAGTTCTTGCAGGAGACCACCTTGCAG